GTTTTAAGCATCAGTTTAATACTTGGTTTGTTATAAGTATCGTTTGATACTTGGTTTTGTTTTATGTTTTGTTTCAAGTATCGCTTTAATACTTAGTTTGTTTTAAGTATTATTTGATACTTAGTTTTATGTTATGTTTTGTTTTAAATATCTGTTAGGTAGAGGCAACTTGATAGACTTCAGAGTTATCAAAGCCAACCAAGATTTGTCTCTGTAGATGGAGATTGTCTAGGAAGGCTTGAATTACACTTATTTTATTTATAACTACTAAGAGCGAAGTAAACTAGGTAAAGTAGAGTAGAATTGTAAGAACAATATTATATTGTTAAGGTTTCTTCTCTGTTGCTTGATGATGTCTAAAAGCTTGGGACGTACTTCAATATTTGTATTTCGTGTCTGAGTGTTCATAGACTACATCTATCTATTATACAACTATGTGCCTCTCTGATTACAACTCACAATGTTAGGTATTCTTCAAAGGTGCAAACACCTCGAGACCTTGAAAATCACCACACCTTCTTCGGTAATTACAATATTGCTAACTAGGAACTATACTGTTCCCAATATTAATTATCCAATTGTCAGAGTTTTTAGACTTATGGTCCTGTTCTCTAGTCAAACTAAGTTGGCTCCAATTGTCTCTATCATTGATGAAATGATCAGTTTCATATGCAGGTTGTATCTGTAGAGGTAGTTATAATTGCAACCTTCACAGGTCACCTGACTTCAAACCTCCATTACTCTATATCCAACTAACAGATATCTTCTGGATAACTTCCAACTAATTTGCATGAAGCTATTCTACCAGATTGACTAATAATCTCTCCATTGGCAACTCTTAGTTGCTTTATGTAATAAGGTTTCAACTGCTGTTCTAGTATTGGGAATTATTCCCCCAACCATAGCATATTACTGGACTCAGTTGTAACTGTAAAGTCCATTACTTTTTGTGGCAGTATTCTTTAGAGTTCTAGATGCTTCCAGTTATTGTTAAGTAGGTGCGAATGTATTGGTTTCTTGTCAAGAACCTTTAACATTCAATACCATATCTTTGTGCAAAAACGTCCCTTTAACTACTGCCCATGCCAAAGATGTTCTATCTTCTAAGCCTAGTAACTCTCTGAGAAATTAATAGATTTACTCCACTCTATTTGCCAGACCTGGCCGAAGGTCCCCTCCCATATATCCTATAAATGGGATCAGGTCAGATGGATGGCAGAGACTTATACAGTAGTATCCTGACACCTATAATTCTGTAGCCATATAGTCACAGGACACAACTAAGGTAGATATTTATGATGACATGTGGGCCCCTAAAGGGGCAAGAGGGGGGTGTTGGAGACCAGAGATCCTGATTCCAAGTAGGGTTACCCTACTTAGGGTGGTTCCTAGGTATCAGATTCTGGCATTCCTAACAATATCATATTAATACTTAAGTGGTTTTACCAAAGTGTATCGCTTGATACCATAAATTAGTTCGTTCATACTGGATATGAACAGATTTGTGTATTTAAAGACTGCCTGATTCCATGATGAAAGAGGCAAACTTAGACAGACAGTATTTCAATTTACTTAGTTGAATGGTTATTCTTTTGTTTTCCCAGTACATCTTCGAAGACTCCTTTAGTTTGTAGCTCTTGCTTCCACCTTAGTAGAGCAGGCTACCTGTCAACTATTGTACCTTATCCTGAAATGTGATTAGCATCTTGTGAATACATTACACTTTTGTCTTCCACCTCATTGCACCCATCTTCTTCAGCCATTGGATGTTGTTGTTTTTTAACCATATAAATATTATCATGCGAGAGTATTGGATGCAGCAATGAGCACAGGATATTAACAGTTTGATAAGGTCAAATCTCTCTCAGCAATTGAGTCAATCCATGACTAGACATTCAAGTAGACAACAATTGTATCTGTATTTCGAAAGATGTATCTAATTTCCTTTAATCCTGATCCTGTTATCAATAAACTACTAGATGGTCACTCTACAGCTGTACCCTTTATATGCTCTCCCATTTCTGAACTTGTCCGTATTTGTTAGGCAGAGACAACCTGATAGACTTCAGAGTTGTTTTAGACCAACCAAGATTCATTTCTATAGATGGAGATTGTCTAGGAAGGCTCAAATTTACTCATTTCATTTATGACTACTAAGTGCAAAGTAAAGTAAGTAAAGTAAGATAGAATCATAAAAACAATATTATATTGTTAATGTCTGTTCTCTGTTGCTTGATAATGTCTAAAAGCTTGGGAGGCACTTCAATATTTATATTCCTCGTCTGAGTATTCACAGACTACATCCATCTATTATACAACTATGTACCTGTCACGAATGTGGCTTGGCGAGGAAAAGGTTTTCATGTAACACATGGTTATGAGTCACAGGTATGTTATTGTTTCACACATATGACTCATTCAAGTCATATGATTTGTTATGTGTAAAATTTGAGATGCTTTTGCACATGGCTTAAATATGAGTCATGGGTCATGCGCCTGACGAGTATGCCTTGCAAGTGTGCCTTGTAGCTTGGCCTTGTGCATATGATTTATATTTCACATATGACCTGATTATGAGGTCATGGGTTTCACACATATGACTCAATCGAGTCATATGACTTGTTTATTGTGTTATGATTGGTTTATGAGTTTTTGCACATGACCTCTTAGCGAGGTCATGGGTTTTGAGCATGTGACCACTTTAGTCATATGACTAGGTTGTTATAATTTGGTTTAGCACATGTGACCACTTTGGGTCACATGACTATGGGCGGGAAGAACACTATATAAGGAGGCTGATGCGGCTGAGGAGGATAGGTTCTTCATGCTTTGTTCTAAGTACTTTTCCTACTTATTACTTTAACTAATCTAAAACACTTTTATGATCTTTATCTTTATTGCAACGATATCGTTATGCCAAGGAAAGCCCTTCACGCAGAAGAGTTAGAGAAAACTTATGATAGGCGTTTCCGATAGAAAACAAAGGTCTTGTACTATCGGTAACGTAGGCAGAGGCCTAGTGCTATTGTAAGACGAAAAAAGAAGGAGAAGCAGAAGAGAGGTATTGTTCCTCGTCGCCAAGAACTATCCCAGGAGGGATCGTTACAGTACCTCTCTGATTGTAATTCGCAATATCAGGTATTCTTCAAAGGTGTGAACACTTAAAGACCCCGAAAATCACCTCACTCTCTTTAGTAATTATGATAATACTATCTAGAAACTATGCTGTTCTCAATATTAATTACCCGATCATTAATGTCTTTAGACTTATGGCCTTAGTTCTCAAGTCAAACTGAGTTAGCTTCAATGTCTCTGTCATTGATAAAATGATCAGTTTCATCTGCGGGTTGTATTTGCGAAGGTGGCCATCATTACAATCTTTCTAGTTCCCCTGACTTCAAACCTTCATAACTCTCTACCCAACTGCCAGATATTTTCCAGAAGACTTCCTACTAATTTGCAGAGAGCTATTCCACCAGACTGACAGATAATCCCATGGTTGGCAATCTTTAGTTACTCTGGGTCGCAGGGTTTCAATTGTTGTTCTAGCATTGGAGTTTATTCCCACAGATACAACGTATTCTGAAATACAGTTGTAACACTCCGTGAACTTCATTGATTCCTGCAGTAGTATTCCTCAAAGTTCTAAACTCTTCTAGTTATTGTAGAGTGGGTACGAATGTATTGGTTTCTCATTGAGATCCTTTATCATTCAATACTATCTCTTCGTGCAAAATCGTCCCCTTACCCATGGCACGTGCCAAAGCTGTCACTTCTTTGAAGCCTAGTAACTTACTGAGAAGTTGACAGATTTACTTCGTTCCACTTCTCAGACCTAGCCAAAAGTCCCCTTTCATATATCCTGTGAATCGGACCTGGTTGGAAGGACGGTGGTAATGTATATGGTGTTATTCTGATACCTTCAATTCTGTAGTATTATAGTCACAGGACACAACTGAGATCGATATGTATGGTGATGTACAGGCCCCATAAGGGGGCCAGAGGAGGGTGTTGGAGACCATGGATTCCAATTCCAAGAGGGGTTACCCTCCTTAGGGTGGTTTCTAAGTATTGGATCCTGGTATTCCTAACAGTATTCAGGAAACACCAAAAACACTACAATCCTTTAAGAGGCATGCTGGAGTTCTAGTTTCTGAGCTTGGAGACAGTTTACCCACATCACATCGAACTCTTCAACAATACCTGAAGAGAGTTTAGCAATTGCACAAGCTGGAACTCTTGCCTTGCAAGATTTGGAAAGTACGAAAGCAGCTGAGCTGGCCTGAGTAGTCAGACAAAAAGTAGAGCAGACGATCGATACAGAAGGGCAGCACAATGTATGCGCATCAAGTAAGAGAAATGGCTCAGAAGAATGAGGCAGAATCTGCGAAGAAGGAGCTTGAGAAGTCTCAGCCCATATTAGATAACACAAAGAAAATTGCCAATGGTAAAATTAGAAAGGAGTGGAAAGAAATTTCCAAATAAATGAAAAAGGCTGTTAAGGATAGAAACAAGCAAAGACGGATTAAAGGGCTTTTAGGTTGTGAGATTGCGCATGTTATTGTCTATCATTGAGCTGTTTTGGCACTCCTAGGGAGTGCCACCTACTTGGAAGGTCGCTTAGTGTCATTCGAAGTGGTGGGAACCTTGGCACGGTTAGCACCATGTGATACTGGTATTCCAGTTTTCGAAGCAAGGTCACAAGGTGGGTCCGGCCGATTTGTGACATCATCAGCAAATGGATTGGATTGGATCCTCGAGTGAGTGTTTGTGATGGCATAGTCAAGTTAGGAGGAAGGGTCAAGTTATCTGTGACGCTGTGAGCAATGTGGTATCCCACTGCCAAGTTATTGAGAGTAATGAACAAAAGCTAGAGTTAAGCCACCACATCCAAATCTATGTGGTTGGTGCCCGTCTGTCTACGTTATGTGTACTATCCACCCAGAAACTGTCATCACAACCATAACAATTAGCCCAAACCGCCGTTTTTCATTAAACCCTCAACACCTAACCTCGATATCGCCAGCTTTTGTCAAATACTTGACTCCTTTGTAAGGCTTTACGCCCTCTCCCAATCCCTTTCCGCCAACAACCTTCAAGCTATCAACCTTAACACCACTAGCCAACCACCCTTTCACACTAAATGCCACTAGAGCACATCTCGGCATAGCCATTTCCATTTTCCTCTTCGCTTGCCTTTCTCTCTTTGCCTTCTCTTCCTCGTTACCACCGTTGACCCCGGCTGTCCCCGCTGTCTGAACGTCCTGGTATTCTCCATTGTCTACAGCTGCTTCTTCTTCACCCTCACTTTCATCTCCGCCATAACTCTTGACAACCACACCAGTTCTAAGTGTGGCTGTTCCGGAGAATGCACTAGTCGTGGGTATCTTCCATGTCACTCTTCTGCCTTCATGTTGGAACTCTCCTCGCGAGCATCGTGTGCCCGTGAGTGTTTTAACGGTCGGGGGAAGTGGGAATATGATGCTTACTTCCTCGACCGTGGGGTTGTTGCTCGACCCCCCAAATGCTGGACTCCGACTAGATCTGGGACCAAATGGGTTTGCTGAGAGGGTATTGGCTGTGGGGGCTAGGGAAGCAGTAGAAATGAAAACCCGAGCTTCGAACTCAGACGACTGTGGTCCGATTGCACTCTTGAGCTCTACGCTAACAGGTAGCTGCGGCTGTATTGCACTTTTTGGATTACCGGAAGGCAAAAGGTCGATCTCATAAGATGCAAGGACAAATTTGCCGTCTGGAGGAACGAAAGATAGTTCCCCCGGCCGCTCCTTCCATCGAGAAAGCCGAACACACGGGTGGAAGACGGGAAAGCCTAGCCCCCCGGATGGCGGGGCACCAAGCTTTTGTTTATGATTGGTAGGTGCTTGAAGTGTCATTAGAAGGTCAGGGATACCGGACAGTTTGCAGTTAAACGCTATTGTACCGCTTGAGCGCGCAGATAGGAAGCGTCCAGAGGGTGCAATAGTTGCTGTGATCAGCTCTATTATATCTACGTAGAGTTCGTTGTTGGTATGACGGACATTGGAACGGCGCCAGGGGATTGTGGATAGAGTTCTAGTTGGTGAGGGAGTAAAAGATGAAGGGATAGAGGCGCTAGCCAACCAACTTAACAGTGGATAGATATTAGAGGAATATCGGATAAACTAACCTTGGTAGACCAGTGACGCTTCCTAAGAGCTTGCCCATTAAACTGGGCGGCAGTACCACGTCCCTCAATGCATTCGGTTCCGTCGTGAATGGGAACCCGTCATCACACATCTCGTTCAGCAACTGAGCAACTATGTCATAGTTTGCCTCAATTTTGCTCCCCAGCAATGGGGATCCCAGGTAGTCTTCGAGAACATTAACCACCCGATGCAAGAACTCCGATACTAGCAACGGTTCTATCTCGGACGTTGCGGGCGAAAGAAACAAGAGGTTATTATGTATTATGTTGAAAAGCAGAATAGGGGGTGAGGTCGTTGGCAGATATATTAATGAGGGACGTGGGGACGGTTGAGCTTTGTAGAGCGAGTAGAGGGAGGCAGCATTAGTAGCTGGTCGTGATCTCCATTCATGTTGTAGGATTGGTGTTGTAGCCGGGGAAAAGCTGTCAAAGACGTACAAAGCTTCGACGGCACTCATGTCTTTGCGAAGGTGGTAGTCGGTATCAAAGCTAATTTACAGACGAATTTGCGGAGCGAGTGGGGTTGAAGTGACGTCCGAGACAACCAACCACGAGGTGTTCTTGGCAAGATTTATGGTGTTTCTTTTTTTCCCAAGATAAGTTACCGATGCCTCCTTAGCAGCCTCAACTTTCTCGATTCATTTCCAGCATACCGGTAGAAAACCCAAAAAGAATAAGAGAAAAGAAAAACATGGGCAAAGAGGAGATAAAATATCTACCAGATACCCCTGTTCCCCTGAGAAAAGCCCTCGCAGAGGATATGAAAGGGGACTGCTTGCCATGTAGAGCAATCGGTATCAACCCTTCACCCGTCTTTCTTTCCTTCTTTCTCTTCCTCTTCTGACCTGGCAATCTATCAAGGTTCTACTGCGTTCATTGGCCTTGGGATCTACACGTTTTTTTCCGGTCGTTCGCAGCTTCGAGCACGGGAGGCAGCAATATTAAAATGCGGAACGAGGTGGGGGATTGGAGCACGAAGGTTAGGAATCCACGGAATAGCGGTGACCTTGGTGGGATTGGGGGTTTACAGGATGGTCATGTGAATTTGTTTATAATATTACACATACCAGTCTTGCTTGTGTACCCGCCTTTCCAAGATTGCCGCGTTTTTGGCGGGCGGCGGGCAGCCAGGTTATCTATGGTAGACTCAAATATTACTATTGTATCATACCGGTACTCAAGTATATGCCCTTGTGTGATACTGGTAGAGTGAAGAGTGGGCTCCTCATGACCTCGAGGGCGGGGGGTCAGTAGTTGGAGTGGTTATCGGATGATCGGGTGTCTGGTCTTGATAAGCTGTGCAATGTCATAGGAGTGGTTTGTGAGGAGTTCAGCTCCCAGAATGTAAATACTATCATACTGTAGTATCATATCATATCATACTTGTAGCACTCCACGAGTCGCCCGCGATCCCATGATCCTGCATAAACATTCAGTGGCTACCTGTAGGCCGTACGAGTAATAGTATGATACCGGTACCGTACTTGTACGATAAGCAGCCAAGCCTCGCCAAAGCTCAGATCAACAGGGTGCTCGGGGATGGCCCGGAGACACATCACCCAGGGTCCCGAAATACGCAAGCCCTTTCCCTATGGAGCCGCAGGGCCACGCCCCCCCACCTCTGGATTTCCGTACCATAATGTTACCACAATAATTATCCATCGTTTTGTATCCCTATCATGCCGTTTATCAAGTATGCTTACCTGTACGGCACTCGTACTGCTCCCTCCCTATCCCTCCCTATCCCCCCTTCTCCCACTGCCCCCGCTGCCCCCCACTCCTCTCCAACATTCCCTTCCCCCCGGGTTTATTCGTGGTGGCTTTGCACCCTCTTCAAGATTGACATCTACATTCTCTCACTCAAGCCATGGCACTTTTTGCAAGTTCGTTCAAATACAATCTGCGAACTTTGAGGGATAATCCACTCGGCGAGATTGCTGGCTCTCTGGGAGATTTGGGGACCCTTCTACCTCTTATGACGGCCCTCGCTGCTGGAAAATCAATCTCGCTAACTGCTACTTTGATATTCTCGGGGGCCTTCAATATATACAGTGGTGCCTTCTTTGGCGTACCTATTGTGGTACCTGATCCCATCCCGTGTTTTTGTATCGCCCCGGCGTCATATGGTGGAAGTTTGTTCCATAGGACTAACCCAAGTAGGTGCAACCCATGAAAGCCATTGCCTCTATCGCCCTCGCTCGACAGCTATCGATAAAGGAAACTATGGCGGCTGGTATTGGTGTGGGCATCGTGGTCATGTTGCTTTCCATCATAGGAATGATTGGGAGGTTAACCGACCTGATACCTCTTCCTATAGTCAAGGGGATCCAAGTAGGCGCAGGTCTATCACTCTGTCTCAATGCTGGCTCTATGCTTTCGGGCCTTGGCCTTAACGGGTCCAAATGGGATGATAACCTCTTTTGGGCTATCAGCGCCTTTTCAGTACTCTATGGATTTTCACGCCTGCCCAAGTTCCCTTTTGCTCTACTAGTATTCCTCCTGGGTGGTATATTTGCTGCGGTGGAGGTTGCTACAAGTGGTGGGAGTTTGCCAGCCTTCGGATTCTGGTGGCCATTGAACCCAACGATACCGACACCAGATGAATTTGCAACTGGGTTCGGGACAGCAGGCGTGGGCCAGATTGCGTTGACAATATTGAATTCAGTGATTGCTGTGCGCTACCTTTGCGAGGACTTGATGCCCACCAGGCCTGCACCATCAGTTACGGCCCTGGGAATATCTGTTGGGCTCATGAATTTGACGGGGTGCTGGTTTGGGGCGATGCCCGTCTGCCATGGTATCATATATAGATCCATTCATTGGCTATGTTCGGTTAGCTAACTAGTGGGCTTCTGCTCGAGCAGGCTCGGGTGGGTTGGCAGCACAGCATAGGTTTGGGGCACGGTCGGGGGCTAGTGTGATGCTTCTTGGACTAGTGAAAGTTGGTGCTGGATTGGCATTCGGAGAATCGCTCGCTAGCTTGCTGCAGCGATTTCCCAAATCTCTACTAGGCATCATGGTATGTTGAGAGCGTTGGGGGTTACTCGTTGTATTAGGAGTCCTTGCTAAGATCGATTTACATAGGTATTTGCGGCTGGAATAGAACTGGCTTCAGTTGCAGAGAACCTAAACAGTTCAGCCAAAGATCTGCTATGCCCTGCCTCAGTGGCGCCAGGGACTGAGCAAGCTCGGTCGGCTGTTTACCCCCCTTTGAGGGTATTGACGGATCGCGAGAAGAAGGAGCGATTCTTAAATATGATGGTCACTGCTGCCATGACGCTGGCCTGTAAAAATACCTTGGTGGGATTTCTAGCTGGTTATTTCTTTTGGGCTCTCCTCCGGCTACAAGATAGGATGGAGAGTTTGGAAGAGGCAAGGGCATCGTACGCTCCTTTGAATGAAGCATCTGCGCTCTTGGGACGATAAACAGCTTGCAATGAATGGCGCACCACTACAGCGGTTCTTATAGACTTGAGCGCACTTTAAACTTGTTTTGTTAAGAGGTTAGACTCGGCGCAATTGTTGTCTAAGAACAAGCAGCGCCCAATCAGTAGCCTAGAAGTATCAATTCCAATAATTTGAGTCCTACCGGTAGTTTGAGTGCTGAGTAATGAATGACTGCGCTTATTTGGCCTCTGAGCAAAGACGTTTGGCGTCGCCAGGGCAACCGTGCCCTGTTGGAGTAAACACCCAACCGCACTAGAAAAGTCATCATCTTCAGAGCAGCAGTTTCTCTTGTCGTCCCCCTCTCACCTACAACCATAATTTTAGCTGCCACTGTTTTTTGCTTTAATTATTTTACTACTAAAACGCATACAATTCAATCGCCATGCCTCCCGCAGAAAAGACAAAGAAGTCCAAGGCCACGGATAAGTCGAGGGATAAAGAAAAGGTGCACAAGCTTTCACTGAAAGGTGATTCTTCCCCCGGTTAGGGTCGGTGCGCAGGCAAGGAGCTAACTCGGTTCTAGGCTCTTCGAAGTTGGTTACAGAATTTGTGAGTATTGATTGATTGCCTGGCAGAGCAGTCGTTGCGAATTTTCCGGCGGGCCTTTTGCTAACCCCCACACAGTTTGAGTACTCTATAAACACAATCCTCTTCCAGAGAGGAGTGTACCCAGCAGAGGACTTCACTGCCATCAAGAAATATGGTCTTAACATGCTTGGTAATTTCCATTCCTCCTTCTTCCTCTCTCTTAGAGATCTTCGCCCGGTAAGCTAACGGACGCCACGAGGATAGTCTCCGCCGATGACCAAGTAAAGGCCTACATCCGCAAGATAATGTCCCAACTGAGCAAGTGGATACTCGGCGGCAAGATCTCAAAGTTGGTGATAGTAATAACGTCAAAGGATACGGGCGAGAATCTGGAGAGATGGCAATTCGACGTACAGCTTCAAGGCAAAGCCAAGAGTCCTGCTGTTGCTTCTGTCGCCGCCGCCACCACCGACGGCTCTAGCTCCACGAGCAAGGAAAATTCCGCTCTCGTTGCGGCGACACCAGCTCCTGAGAAGACCGAGAAGGAAATCCAGGAGGAGATCCAGAGCCTCTTCAGACAGATCACCGCGTCTGTCACATTCCTGCCCATGCTCGATGGGAGATGCACTTTCAACGTGCTTGTCTATGCGGATGGCGACGCCGAGGTCCCCATGGAGTGGGGTGATTCGGATGCCCGCGAGATTGTCGGGGGGGAGAAGGTTACGTTAAGGAGTTGGGGGACTAGTAGTCATAAGGTCGATACTTTGGTTAGTTATAAACTTGCTGATTGACTGACTGATTGAATGATTGATGAGGTTTTGGGTGGTGATTTCTGGGTTTTCTATCATACATCATGCTTCTCGGGTTGTTGTTCGGTTTGTTGGTATTGGGGTTATGGTGGTTCTTTTTCTTTTTTAAGGTGGGTTGGAGTGGGGTGGTGTATACCTGGTTCTTGAATTTATAGATACCGGCCTGCTTGACGCAGGAGGTCTAATATTGGGGGTATGACATGTGCCGTACTTTATCGTGCTAGTAAATTAATTGGTAACAGCACAACTCCGTTGAACTGCTGTACTTGTACTGCATCTCATCACAATTGCTCACTCGCACATGTGGGTAATTGCACTTTCTTATCGTCCCCTCCCCCTAACACAAAACCTCGGTGAATCCATACAGAGCATTCGGTCACTTCCACCATCACCTACTGGTATGACAACATCCCGACATTGACGACTTCGAAAAAGCCTAAGCGATGCTCTGCAAATCTGGGAGCTGCCCAAATCCCCCAGATCCCGGGATGGAATCATGAGGGTTCGCGCGTGGCATCTTCCCCCGGGCCCAATTTGCCATTGTGAACTTACCCTCCTACGTGTAACAACAACGGACATCAACTCTCGAACTATCCTCAACAACCACACTCGCAACATCAACCAATCAACCAAAATACTATTTCCCCTTCCCAAACAGAGGTACCCTCCCCTTCCTCCCCTTCCTCCCCCCGCGGCATAAAAATCCACCCCCCCTAGTCCAAATGCCCCCACCCTACCCCTTCCTAGGAGTAATAATGTTCCTGTCGAGTCTTCTAGCATACTTCTTTACACTCTATTCCGGCATGAGTTCTTCTGTGGATGGTGGTGAGCGGTGGAGGGAGGTGCGGAAGAGTAGTATTGTTGGCTTCTTCGCGCAAGATTTGGAGGAGACGGATCCAGGGAGATTTGATTGGGTTGGCTTTCGCTCTATCCATCTTGTGGACGGGGGGGGGCTAACAGTGGGTAGATTGAGAGTGGGTTTGGGTTGTTGGATGAATTTGGTGTTCCCGGGCTTGAGATGGAAAGGGAGGGGGAGGGGGAAGGAGAGAGGAGTAGGAAGTGGGGAAAGTTTCGGAAGGCTATTGGCAGGTTGAACAGCCAGGCGCCAGGGAATACGGTTTATAAAGTGCTGTATTTGGCTAGGCATGGGCAGGGTTTTCATGTATGCTCTTTCCTTTCTCTCTCTCTTGATCTCGTTGGGGAATGGAGATGCTGACGTTTTTGGTAGAATGTTGCCCGTATGTTCTGTTTTGTTTGATGGGAACATGACTAATTAATGATGGCGGCGTAGAGGAGTTCTACGGTACCCATCTTTGGGATGTAGGGGATTCATTCTATCCAGTCATGTATTTCAGGTTGGGTGAGGGAGGCTAACTATATTGTTGAAGTGTCATTGGTCCTTGCTGGATGGGAATGGGACTTCCGTTTGGGTTGGTCCATCCATAGGGTCGGGCTGCGGGGTTCTAGAGCTGATGTTGATAACAGGCCGATGCTGAGCTCACGAATATTGGTATCACGGAAGCTCAGCGAGCGAATATTGCTTGGAAGGACCAGATTAAAGCCGACGTCCCGTTGCCGGAGAGCTACTATTCTTCTCCATTGAGGTATCCAGATCCTTCGTTGGTTACGGACGTGGCTAACTAGGCCAGGCGTGCTGCAAGCACCCTCGAGATAACCTGGAAAGACATCACTCTGAACAACCACAAGGCTCCGAAACCCATTGTCAAGGAGGTCAGTAGCAGAGCGATCGGTAGATGCAGTTTCGAGCTAAGGAATTATAGAAACTCCGCGAGACGATCGGTATTCATACCTGCGACCGCCGGAGTTCCAGAACCGAGATTGCAGAAAAGTTTCCCGAATTCGTCTTCGAGAAGGGCTTCCTAGAGAATGACCCGTACTGGACGCTCAAGTGGAGGGAACCTAACGATGTACGAGGCATCAGGCTGGGGGAAGCCCTAAACGACATCTTCGCCCATGACAATAACACCTATATCAGTATTACCGCTCATAGTGGGGCTATCACCAGGTAAGTCCCTGCCTGCCGATCAATGAGTCGATTAGGACGGAAATTTTTGCTGACAAATTTGGTGACAGTATGCTGCAAGTTCTCGGGCATAGACCATTTAGACTTCAGACCGGAGGGATGATTCCAGTGGTTGTGAAGGTTGAGTTTGTTCCAGAGCGTGGGCCAACACTGACCAGCGTCTCACCTTCGTATGGAGCGCCAAGTTGCACAACAAACCCGATAACAAATTTATAGGCTGGAGGTTGGTAGTGAAAAACTGTATGAAAATGTATCGCATCAAGACGGAGGGTTCGATTCTTAATATATGAAATATAAAGAGCATACTTGACAATTGCCCATTCAGGGCATATCATACTCGTACAATGTGAATAATTTTTTTTTACCAATGAGGCGTTCTCTAACCGCTTGTTTGAAGCTGAACTCGACCCCTTTTTGGTAGAAAGCTGTGGAAAGCCGCAGATGCTTGAGCCCAATCACTCAGCCCCGACCGCATAAAATTATTTGGTTATACGCCAAGATTTACTTGCTTTAGGTGCCGCCACATCTCAAGACGCTGACTCTTAAAGAACACATCCAACCTCAACCTTTTCTCCCTTGTCTACCTGTTCCCGAATTCTCATCCTCCTTAAACTTCCACCTCCTAGCTCCTTACCACTGCGACATCCGCCCCAACACTCTTACACACATATTTTCCACTCTACGAAGTCTCGCTCAACCACAGCTCAACATAAAATGTCTGACGATTGGGAATCTGTTACCAAGATTGGTTCCAAGGCTAGTGGTAACGCTCAGCGTGCAACGGTAGCGAGAACTCAGTCCGAGATCAACGCAGCCAGAAGAGCCGGCGCTGTTGTTGCCACTGAAAAGAAGGTACATGAATGCGAAAACCTACAAAGTTTTGACGGTTGGAGTTTGAGTGCTAATATTCCCGCAGTATGCGACCGGGAACAAGACCCAGAGTACCGAAGGTCAGCGCTTGACAAAGGTCGATCGTGAAAACGAGGTTGCTCCGCCACCCAAGATCGATCAGGGCGTTGGAAAGGCTATGTCTAAGGCCCGCCTCGATAAGACTCCCACCATGACACAGAAAGACCTTGCGACCAAGGTTAACGAGAAGCCTTCTGTGATCAACGATTACGAATCTGGCCGTGCTGTTCCCAATCAGCAGGTTCTTGCTAAGCTTGAACGTGCACTTGGGGTGAAGCTGCGAGGGAAGGGTCAGTATTATCATTTCCATCACCAAAATTTAACCTTTTTTTAAGCCCTTATATTATTTCCTCCATGATATACTAACGACATGTGACAGACATTGGTGCTCCCCTCGGCCCTAAGAAGAAGTAAGGTTCGCCGTTTCTTTTTTCTTTTTTTCTTTTTTTGTTTAGCCGCACGGGGTGAAGGGGTTGTTGGGTTGAGCTATAGACAACGTTGAGCTGCAAGAAGTATCTCGCTGGTTGTGGTGCATTTGTCGTCTTTACCACCGAATACTTTCCCCTCCTTTTGTTTTCTTGAAATCTAGATGATAAGAAATGAAATGGTGGGACTGTGGGGCGTTTTACTTTGTCTTTCTTCGAGTACCTAGATGTCATTACGTCTCCTTGAGTTCATTGATAGAAATACCTTTCTCGGGCTATCTTTTTTCTTCGTTTCTGGAGGGGTGGAAAATTCAATGATGGAAGGTTGGCGGTTGGAGCCGTGAGTGAAGATGTGTATTGGTCTGGTGTGGTTGAACCCTTTCAATAGAAATAAGCTGGTATGATACTGTATGATATTATGCCATGCCCACTGTGATATGTTGGTGGGCAACACTTGGGGGTGCCGTATTTACGCAGCTATCCATTGTCTTGTGCCGAATGCCTATTTCGTTTTGATGCGGAGGGCCGTCAGTAAGTGACCTTGGGTTCCTCCGCACCCTCACTGACAGTCATTAGACTCCTACACCAATAATACTATTCAAGATAAAGACCACTTACAGAGAAACCGAAGCCTTGTTATTTTTAAACTGGGCTTAAAAAAGCGTGGGACGAGATGTGGGAAATGCCACAGAACAAAGACCTACTGAGCGTAGAACTAAAGGTTGCCTTACAGTACTGGTGCTCGAGTTAGGGTTCCCAGCAATTGGGCTGCATCTTCCAACAAGAGAGCGGATAGAGTGATTTTTAGTGACGCGGGTATACGATGGAAGCGTCAGAATTTTGGGCAAACAATTTCTACTTTGTCCTACTGAATTGTACTAAGCTGAAGCCGGGGGGGGGGGTCGGATTGACTCCTCCTCACCCTCAATTGCTTATACAAGTATGTTCGATCTTGGCTTGTCAAGTGGAAGAGTTTGACGTATTATCATACCTCTGAAACTTCGGGACCCGAGCCGGTTCTCCGGGAGAAAAGTAGGATTGTATGGTATGATACCGTAATCCCATAGCGTAAAAGCAAAACAAAATACGTTAAACACTGTCCACTTGATAAATTCAGTTTAGGGTTGTGGACATGGAGTGTTTCACACATTGCTAAGAGGAAATATCATGGTAGAAAAAGTCACCCTTCCTCCACCTCTTCTCTTGCTTTTCTTCCTTTCCTCCCAATTGCCCTTATCCCTCCGATATCTGATCATCTCTCTTTGCCTGTCGATATCTGCCCGTCTGTCCGTCAATCCCCCCCCAGTGGCTCATCGCGAGCACTGGTCCTCGTTTGTACAACCAAATCGGTGTTCTTTAGCTAATGCAAAATTGAGAAGAGGAGGGGAAAAAAAACCCACCTCCGGGAGGGAAAAAAAAAATCAAATCGAGCTAGACAGTCAGTTTTGTACCAGTGGAATCGCTTATTAGTATCTCACAAAGCAAAAATCTTCTGACCTCTCATAGGTTACTTGTACACCCCCTGTTGAGGACTGGGGCTGCTTTGGTTACCCACTGCAAAGAAAATTATACTTTTTCCAATTTCACCCTACCCCTCCCACACACACGTTTGCAATTTGCCTGCAGCTATCGTACCCCCGCGCTTCCATAAACCGTCATCTTGGCCTCGGTACTTCTCAGGGCTGCCCTCCCCTGGGGGGGTGGTCCGTTGTTGAGACCCTCAACAACACACTTCTGTTCTGGGAGAAAGTTAAGAACTCTTTCACTCGGTCACCCTTATAACAACCACCAGGCTCCCACCATCCGACACCCGTTTACCAGAAATTTCTCAACTACTCAGTTCGAGATGGTTGCTGAAAGAATCGACGGTACCGCTGTTGCGAGGAAGGTTCGGGATAGAATCAATGAAGAGATTAAGAAGAGGCAGAAGACTAATAAGAGGTTTAGACCTTCCTTGACAATTGTACAAGGTGAGCGGTCCTGTCCTTCATCCTATTTTTGAGTCAATTTTTACTTTCTCTCCTCTCTGGGGATTGCCCCATTACCTGCGGTCCGATTGGTGTTTGTTGAACAAGAGTTTATTTGAAATATAACTGCTAACATTATTTTCGAAATTTAGTTGGTGATAGATCTGATTCATGTATGTGTCACTGTTTTTCTGCGGGTTTGCAGCGACTTGAGATGTTGCCATTCGCTTTTAGCTGAGTACTGATTTCAACCCATTATCATAGCTACATACGTGCGCATGAAACTGAAGGCTGCTGAGGAGGTTTGTCTTACGGTGCTTAGTGGTATGGGGCCAATCCTGCTAACGCATTCATCAGGCAAACATCACATGCGAAATTGTCAAACTTCCCGCAGATACCACTGAAGCTGAGGTACTAAGGTCCAAACCTAGTTCAAATTGCTAGAACTAATGGTTGGGACTATATAGCTGTTAGCCAGAATTGAAGGTCTGAATGACGACCCTTCAATCCACGGTGTCCTGGTTCAATTGCCAGTTCCAAGGCATATTTCGGAGGCAGCGGTTACCGCTGCTGTTGATCCTTCGAAAGATGTCGACGGTTTTGGTGCCGTCAACGTCGGTGACCTCGCCAAGCGTGGTGGAACTCCTATGTTTACTCCCTGCACACCTAAAGGTGTCATGGTTCTTCTAGAAGAGTATGGAGTAGATCTTTCCGGAAAGCACGCTGTAGTTCTCGGAAGAAGTGACATCGTTGGCTCTCCAGTATCATACCTCCTGAAAAACTCAGATGCAACAGTCACAGTATGCCACTCGGCTACAAAGAATCTGCATGATTTTGTCAAGCGGGCAGACGTTTTAGTGTCCGCGATCGGAAAAGCACTATTTGTGAAGGGCGAATGGCTGAAACCCGGTGCTGTGGTCATTGACGTTGGTATCAACTACATAATGGATGAAACACGTAAGTCTGGTCAACGACTTGTTGGGGATGTCGACTATGAGTCTGCCAAGGAGGTTGCTTCTTTGATCACACCCGTTCCTGGCGGAGTCGGTCCTATGACTGTTGCTATGCTGCTGGAAAATGTTGTTTCCTCTGCAAACCGATTTTATGACCAGATGGCACATAGGAAAGTCACACCATTGCCATTGAAGGTCGAGAGACCTGTCCCCAGCGATATTGCGGTATCGAGGGCACAAACTCCTAAGAATGTCAAGATAATTGCCCGCGAGCTTGGTATTTCAGAGAGGGAATTGGAACTTTATGGAGCCCATAAGGCGAAGGTCAACTTAGACCTTCTGCAACGATTAGGTCATAGGAGGGATGGAAAATACGTCCTTGTGGCTGGTATCACTCCTACTCCTTTGGGAGAGGGTAAATCTGTGAGTCTTGTCCTTGTTACATTCTGATCCTTTTTCCATTCTGACTCTCCGCTCAGACCACTACTATGGGCTTGACTCAGGCTCTTGGCGCTCACTTGGGTAAGATTGCGTTCGCCAATGTTAGGCAGCCTAGCCAAGGCCCTACCTTTGGAATCAAGGGTGGTGCTGCAGGTGGAGGTTATAGTCAAGTTATCCCTATGGATGAGTTCAATATGCACTTGACTGGTGATATCCATGCTATCACTGCTGCTAATAATCTCCTCGGTATGGTATATGTTGCCCCAATGTAGAGCGCTATTAACATCTTCATAGCTGCTGCCATTGAGACTAGAATGTTCCACGAGAGCACCCAGAAAGATAAGGCACTTTACAATCGCTTGGTTCCAAAGAAGAACGGTGTTCGAGAGTTTTCTCCAGTCATGTTCCGCCGCCTCAAGAAGCTCGGAATTGATAGGGCCAACCCAGATGATCTGACTGGCGAGGAGATTACCAAGTTCGCTAGACTGGATATTGACCCTGATACCATTACCTGGCGCCGGGTTTTGGATGTCAACGATCGCCATTTGAGACAAGTTACAATTGGGCAAGCGCCCTCGGAGAAAGGTCACACTCGTATCACCGGATTTGATATTTCTGTTGCTAGTGAATGTATGGCTGTGTTGGCTCTATCCAATGACTTGGCTGATATGCGTGAACGGTAAGATTCAAGATGTGCTATTTTGAGTACAATTGACTGACTGTGTTTTAGTCTTGGTCGTATGGTTATTGGGTCAAGCAGGAGTGGGGACCCGGTCACCTGTGACGATATTGGTGCCGGTGGCGCTCTCACCGCTTTGATGAAAGATGCTATCAAGCCCAACCTTATGCAGACTCTGGAGGGGACTCCAGTCTTTGTGCATGCTGGTCCTTTTGCCAACATTAGTATCGGCGCTTCATCTGTCATCGCTGATAAACTTGCTCTTAAGCTCGCAGGTACTGAAGAAGATGAGGTCCACGAGGAAAAGGCTGGCTACGTTGTCACCGAGGCCGGTTTCGACTTTACTATGGGTGGGGAGAGGTTCTTCAATATTAAGTGTAGATCCAGTGGGCTTTGCCCAGACGTCGTAGTCATTGTTGCAACTGTGAGGGCTTTGAAGGTTCATGGTGGCGGCCCAGAGGTTACCGCAGGGGCTGTGCTCCCAGAGGCTTATCGCACCGAGGATGTCGAATTGCTTAGAGCTGGTTGTGTCAATTTGGCGAAGCACATTCAGAACGCTAAATACTATGGTGTCCCGGTGGTTGTTGCTATCAACAAGTTTGTCACTGATACTGAAGCTGAGATCAATTGCATCCGTGAGGAAGCAATTAGGGCTGGTGCTGAGGATGCTGTCGAGGCTTCTCACTGGTCTGATGGTGGATTGGGCGCTGTTGAGCTGGCCAAGGCTGTCATTGCATCGTCCCAGAAGCCCAAGAACTTTAGACTCCTCTACAAAGCCGATCTCTCCATTGTTGAGAAGATGGAGTCAATTGCTAAAGAGATGTACGGAGCTGCCGGAATTGAGCTCAGTGAACTTGCTAAGAGTCAGGTTGAGACTTATACCAGACAGGTAGGCGTTCATAAATTCTTGGCATCGGGCATATACTGACTTTATTCTAGGGCTTCGGACACTTACCAGTCTGTATTGCTAAAACTCAGTACTCTCTATCCCATGACCAGAACCTGAAGGGGGCTCCTACTGGCTTCACTGTGCCAATCCGGGATGTCCGCTTGTCTCCCGGAGCCGGGTATCTTTATGCCAAGGCTGCAGACATTCAGACTATTCCCGGTCTTCCGACTGCTCCTGGATACCTCAATGTTGATGTCAACATGGAGACCGGAGAAATCCAGGGTCTCTTCTAATATTTTCCCCTTCTCTCAATTTTCCTTCTTTGTTTCTCTTTCCTGCAAATTTCTAGGGTTGTGGAGCAATTCCGTAGTAGGTAGATAAAAAATGATTCAAGGGGGTACAATTCCAACAATTGGCGTATTAGAGGGATATAGGATGGGGAAAGAGCTTGGTTCAATGGCACGTGCATAAAAAAGCGAATGGAATTGGAAAGCTCAACTCAGAGCTTATACCACACTTGTGTAGTGATGTGATACGGTATTCGTGATATCCTGCATGTACTATGCAGGTTCCAAGGAAGCTAGAAAACCAAAATCCCCGGGGTTAGGGAATTATACAACGTAACTGAGGGGCTCCTTTGACCCCGCTGCGAACTGCCAAAAAGCCCCTTTCCTCCTCCCCAAGCCAAAATAATAACTTGGGTTAAGGAAAGAGGTGGGAGTTAACCCTCCATAGTAACTTATGTAAGAGGGCGCACCAAAGGAGTTTATCTAACACCAAACCTTTTCTTATCACCCCCCCCCCACCAACCGTGATATGATATGATATGATACTATGGGCATGCATATTATAAGAAAAAGTCGACCAATCCGTTCCCTGCAGAAAGGGGTTCGGACCCTACTTTACTGGTAGGATTATCTCTTCCTTTTCTTCCACCCCCTTCATCATGAAAAAAAGCCCAATTCCTTCACCACTCCGTCACCTTCTCAAGACGATACGCATTTTCTAGCGCGTCTTGCAGGAGCATTTACTACGCACCCCTCCCCCAATAGCTGAAGGGGAGAAAAGAAATATTTCCTCTTCTTCGGGGCGTCCGCTCACCCGTCCTTCCGTCTTCGAGTTTTCCTTTTCCTTCGTTGCCAAATTTTTCTTTCCGCTTCTTCCCCCTCTTTTCGGACATTAGAATGCCTCTTGGTGCTACTACTAGCCGCTGTCTGCTGCTTCGCTCTCGAGCAATTGCTTCTACTGCTACCATCGTTGCCAGGCCTCCGTTGTTACAGTGCTCTACGAGAGTCGGGAAGAAGGAGAACAAAGCTGGTTCTGGTATAAGGCTTGAAAGGCTTGGAAACCTGCACGCGTTTAGCGTCAGTATGGAAAGGCAAGAGTGTATGCCCCCCCTCCCCTTCAATTCGAGAATGTTGGAAGGTTTGGTGAGCAGGCGGTTGAGTGAGTGAGGAATAGTTCAGAAGATCAAGGTCAAGAACCCGATTGTGGAATTGGATGGGGACGAGATGACACGGGTGATTTGGGATTGGATTAAGGCCAGGGTGAGTTTTTAAATCGATTGTGCTGGATGGGAGTTGGGAGTGGGAGTGGGAGTGGCTGACTTTGGGAGTAGTTCATTCATCCGTATGGGAATTCCTTCGGGTGTTTGATGAGGGAGAGACTATGCGCTGATGGAAATGACCTAGTTATCTCGATGTCGACCTCAAGTACTACGACTTGGTACGTGTTATCTCACATTCTGGGGATTATCGGGGGGGCGGGTTGGTTGACGGTGGATTTTGTGACTGCGTAGGGAATTCTATATCGGGACAAAACAGAGGATAAAGTCACCGTTGAGGCTGCAGAGGCAATCTTGAAGCACTCTGTGGGCGTCAAGTGCGCAACCATCACTCCGGACGAAGCACGTGTCAAGGAGTTCAATCTCAAGAAGGTGAGGTGACTTCTCCCCAGGTTTTAGAGCGGTCATTAACAATTCGTAGATGTGGCTGAGTCCCAACGGAAGTTCGTACACCAATAATAGCCTTCCGAGGTCTGCTGGGTTACTAACAATGCCCATTAGCGATCCGCAATATCCTCGGCGGAACCGTCTTCAGAGAGCCCATTGTCATCCCCAGGATCCCCCGCTTGGTAGCCGGCTGGAAAGAGCCCATCATCATTGGCCGTCACGCCCACGGCGACCAGTACAAGGCCCAGGACTTTGTCGCTTCTGGCCCAGGTAAATTGGAAATGGTGTACACTCCCGAGAATGGTGAGCCGAAGCGCATCCAAGTCTTCGATTATAAGGCCAGTGGCGTCGCATTGGCAATGTATAACACCGACGATTCAATCAGTGGATTCGCTCACGCTAGTTTTAAGCTTGCACTTCAGAAGAAGTTGCCGCTGTACATGAGCACTAAGAACACTATTCTCAAGAAGTACGATGGAAGGTTCAAGGATATTTTTCAGAATATCTACGAGTCGACTTACAAGACTGAGTTTGATGCCAAGGGTATTTGGTACGAGCATAGGTTGATTGGTGGGTGGCTTTTTAGATTTGTTGAGACTGGGAAAGAGGGTTGTGCTGATTTTTATGGTGGTGGGTAGACGATATGGTTGCTCAGATGATCAAATCTAAGGTGGGTGATCTTTGGTGATCCTATAACACCAGAGGGAAGATGTATTAATTAAAATTACAGGGCGGCTTCATCATGGCTCTGAAGAACTACGACGGAGATGTTCAGTCCGACATCGTCGCGCAAGGTTTCGGATCATTAGGACTGATGACCTCCGTCTTGATCACCCCTGACGGGAAAACCTTCGAGTCCGAAGCAGGTAAGAATCCCCTCATTCATCACGTTCGCCCACTTACACCGGCCACAACAGCCCACGGAACTGTAACAAGGCATTACCGCGAGTACCAAAAAGGCAAGGAAACCTCCACCAACCCGATCGCCAGCATCTTCGCTTGGACCCGCGGCTTAATCCAGCGTGGCACTCTGGATAACACCCCGGACGTCGTCGCCTTCGCCGAGTCCCTAGAGTCCGCCATCATCGACACCGTCCAGGTCGACGGTATCATGACCAAGGACCTCGCACTCGCCTGCGGAAAGCAGGATAGGGACTCCTGGGTCACAACAAGTATATTCCTGGACGGCGTAGAGAAGAGGTTTAAAGGTTCGCTCAAGGCTAAGTCCATTCTTTAGAGCTGGGGCAAAGTTTCATTTGAGAGGAAGGGTGCGAAGGGGTGTCTAGTACCTGTATTATACTTTACTATAAATTTGCGGGAGATAAATTCCCGATTGATACCGTTTGCTACTTTCAGTGGAGGTGAGATATTATGGGGGGCAAAGGGGTGGATGGAGTGTAAAATTGTGACTACGATTCTCGGGATTCACGAGCCCAACCACGAGTAAGCGAGCGAGGAGGGTACAATGGACACATTTGGGAAGCGCAGGGGATTCATAGTGCGGGAGAGCGCCAAGGTGGTGGAGCTATAGGATGGAGGTGTAAATGCGACTGCACTCACGCTGTGGCGCGGTCGAGCGGATGCGATATTTGGTGTTTCATGGCTAAATAAATAGTCTGGGTAGATACTGGGGCTGTCAGCAATTCTCTACAGGAACGCATGGCGGACCTGCGGGTGTCCATGGTGAAATTTTGGAATAAGGAGAGACGAAGATGTGAAAATGGGAGAGTAAAATATCTTGAGCGCCTATTTTCGCATAGGGTAGTTAGAAAGGCTTGCTGTCGTCGCAGCTGCCCAATCAAGGGAGGCCCCGCCAACCCTGGACGGGAAGAGGTAGAGGACAGCTATCGTCGAACTGAACTCGGCTCACCTCAATTTAACTTAACATTCATCATCCATCGGTCTATTTCCCTTTTTCTTTTAACAACCAACGAACCAACCAACCTACCCATCTAACTCTCTCCACCGCCACCACAAAGCAACACACAATCCCCACAATCCACAGAAATGGCACCAAACCTCTCCTTATTCTCGGTACTCTTCCTCCATTCCCCATCTCACCGTGTGCGCCCCACTAACCACCAACCTCCTCCTCCTCCCCTTCCAGGTGAACGCAATCCTGATCCTCTCCCCAGACGGCACTCGAGTCCTAGCGAAATACTACCACCCACCCCACAGCCCCGCCACCGCCGCCAACAATGCAGCAGCGAGCAATCCCTACCCAACACTGAAGGAGCAAAAACCCTTCGAGAAGGGCCTGGTGGAGAAGACGGCGAAATCCAACTCGGACATAATCCTCTACGATAGCCGCATCGTCGTGTTCAAGGCGGAGTCGGACGTGATGCTGTACGTCATCGGCGGGGTGGAGGAGAATGAGATGTTGCTGTGGCATACATTGCTGGCGTTGAGGGATAGTTTGAATATTTTGCTCAAGTGAGTTGTGGGATTCCCCGCTTCGAGTTTGAATGAATGAGTGAATGAATGAATGAATGGACGAATGGCTAATGAGGCCGGGTAGGAATGCTACGGATAAGCGCACGCTACTCGAGAATTATGATATCGTCTCGTTGGCTATCGACGAGATTGTCGATGATGGGATTATCCTCGAGACGGATCCTGCGACCATTGCTGGTCGCGTGTCCAAACCCCCCATGCAGGAGGTTGGGGGGGTTAAAGGGTTGGATCTGAGTGAGCAGGGATTACTGAATGCTTGGGAGTTTGGGAAGAAGCAGTTGGCGGAGAGGTTGAGGCAGGGCCTTTGAGGCGGAGGTCATTGCTATGGGAGGAGGATAGTGGGGGGTGTTTGTGGGTTCAGTTCCTCTTAAATACAAAATAAAAATGATGATACTATAGCAATGGTGGTTTAGATTCTGCTTTTATTGATTGTCATTATTATTATTATTCGTTGTTGACCGAGTGACACTGACTACGTTACCGTATATGTTGCGACGGTGACGATGGGTGTAATGATATTGATAATCAAAACAAGATATCATATCCATCATCAGCGCATTGCAGACGAATCCACTCCCACAGTAAAAAAATAAAAATAAAAATAAAAAATAAAAAAAGCACTTTGCGCGAAAAATAAAACCCATTCAGCATGCAGTGCACTATGAACAAAAAAAAACCAAAAACAGCATAACCCCCTCCAACCAAATCCAGAGCCAGATCACAATACCGGCAAACTTGACCACAGGCACTCATACAGAACAGCACAATCCTGACTATAAATAACAACCCAACAAACCCAATCAAACCAAGAACGAAAAACAAAAAAAACAAAGCCAACCCAGTCCCCCCCTCCCCCGCAATCCAGCTCCCCAATACCGACCCGATCCGACCGACCACTGTCCATTTTCCTCAGGCCACAAACCCCAGGTGTGAATACAATACTATACTCGAGCAGAGAATATTCCCACGACAATGCTTGGACAAGCAGAAGAAGGGATAGGCTTGTGATAGGACAAGGGCGGGCGGGGAGTTTGATATAGCGGAAACACGACAATGAAAGAAATAGTTGAGTATGATAAGTAGATCTCTTCCAACAAAAAAAAAAAAGGCGACATTAACTTATACAAACGAGACTTGAACTTGAGCTTAAAAAAAAAAGAAAAGAAAGACTCCAGATTCAACCACCCCCCCCCTTCTCTTCCCCCACCAGCTCGTGATAAATAAGAGGGAAAATCTCCTACCAAAACTATTATCTGATACACAATCCAATAGTAGTAAACACTGTCTATGGGAAAAAATGAAAGGAAAAAGAGACATGTCTCCCTCTAGGTTTGTATCAGAAAAATATGCTACTAGTGCAACTCACCTCGTTGCTTTTTCTTCTTCCCCTTCTGCCGGGTGCCTTAGTGCCTCAAAATACACAAGAATAGAATAGAATTTCAAATAGTAAAAGGAAGGAACCGAAAATTGGGACAAAAAAGAGAAATACTACAGACTTTGGCACAGGAAAGGGAAGAGAAAAAGTTAGAGAGTAAAACACCACGTAGCTGTCTTATTACACAAACGGCACGCCCCGTTTGACCGTTGTATACAAAAATCCTCCGCATCTACACCTTAATTACCACGGCCATCATAGCCAGCTCCTGTATGCCAGTTCATCGATCCACCAGTGTTGGATCGTTGTACGGGTTGGCTGTAATCATATCCTCCTGGCGATCGCGCCGGTGATGAAGGTGATGGTACACCGCTACGGCTTGGTGATCGAGGGGTGCCCGAGGTTGTCAGTAGAGGCAACTGGTTCGAGTGTTGAGCCATTTGACTGTTATATGGTCCCCTTGAACCATCGTGACCCGCGGTAGGGAACATGGGCACCGCTGGGTTTAATGGTGAAGGCGGTGTGTCCATGTGGCGATGGCTTGGCGCATGGGAACCAGCTGTCGATGGCGGCAGAGGAATCTGAGAAGCCTCTTTGTTCATCGAGTTGGTGGTGTACGAATCATCATCATCCTCCAAATCCCTAGTCTTGTATCCACCTTTATCACCGCGAGCAGTGACACCAAGGGCATCCAATTCAGTTGACGCCGCCATCTGGGTGTTGGACTTGATGAATGATGCTCTATCGTCACGCATGGGCTGGTAACGAACGTCCGGGTTTTTCGAGATCAAGGCATAGATCGATGAGATAAGTACCAATATCAACAAAACAAGGGCGAAGGCAGCATTAAGAATGAAGAAGATAACACCCATAACACCAACCACAATTCCCTGTGTAAATGTCAGTCCTATCCGTGAACAGGAGTAAAAAAAGGGAACAAGATACTCACTGGACCCCCAAAAACGTCGGTGAAGACAAGGAGGAAGACGGTATTCAGGAAGTTGATCGCACAGATAGAAATGTTGAAGATGTTTGTTCGCTTGTCCATCCACGGCTTCATAATGCTCACAGCGATCAAGTAGGCAACCTCAATCAAAAGTAAAGCGATAGCCTGGACAAGTCCTTTATTCTGGGCAAATGCGATAAACATCGCCTTGACAAGCGTGTATAATAAAACGGGAACGACATAGTAATAGGCGGTCGCACGAAACTGGACATAGAGGAAGCCCCATCTGTTTAAAGCTGCTGGGTCGGAGTAAAGGATGTACGCTGGATTCTTGTGAAGGGTAACCGAGCGCTGAGCGATGCGAATAACCTTGAAAGATGCCCAAGCGAGAATACCAGTCATCGAGAAAAAGAAGAAGATGGCCAAAGTAACAGCACCGCCAGAGTCCCTAACAGTAAGCTCCCAAAGGCAAAGAATAGCCATTTGAGGGTAACCAATCAAGACCTATACCAAAGTTAGAAAGCATACCAAATGGCGTATACACCGACACATACCAAGCGATACATGATCCCCTTAAGAACCGTCATCCATCCGTTCCTGAAATCCTGGAATTTGGTTCCTTTGATCCACTGCATTTTAGATGCAAACTCGCATATTGCCTTGAAAGCGCAAACACCGAGAGCAACAAAAAACAAGAAAGCGACCAAAAACGCCAAACCTGTCATGAAAAAGTTGGTAGCCTCAATTTTAGCTTTGAACGAAACCCGTTTAATTCCCCAAACTCTAATAGTCTCGGTATTCTCGTTTAGTCCGTTATCGTTGTTAGATCTCGGTTCCAGGCTACCGGAGACCAGATCCCGGGGAGTAAGCGGCGAAGCATAAGTCTCGAAACCATAAGCTGCTGCCCTGCTAATCAAAGAACTGGTCTGCTCGGGCAAACTTCTCTTCATAATCTGGACGGAAACTTCTGAGAGAGATCCAAAGATATTTGAAGGCTTGCCCCCAGTAGCTTGAATATACCAATGGAAGATCTCCTGCATGAACCCGACCTTTATTATGCCCATACTCCAGTCGAAATTTTGGGTCCAAGCAGCCACAATTGGAGGAAGCGTTACACCAGTCATCCCAATCATTGCCTGAGCCTGAAAATACCCGAAAAGGGACAATGCGTTCGCAGCGACGTGAGCAGCAGTGTTGGAGTGACCGAGGCCAGAGGTGACGGCGGAAGCGATAAGGCCCATACCAGCGATAATAGCCGTGGCCCAGCCCACACCCTTAGTGTCGACAGTTTTACCATTGCTAAGAGGAGCTTCAACACAAGCGATCATCTGCTTTGTATCAGTTCTGTTGACCATGATTTTCGCCTTTCCATCTATGTCCGGGACTTGGTATGCGATAGCTAATAGAATGGAATAACACGTTAACACCTCTTCCGGAATACCAGCACCATCGGGTAATAGAACCTCATACCAGGAATTTGGCGGGCAACATCAGCTTCAATGGGCGTATGAGACTCGAGCTGAATCAGCCCCTGTTGCATCGGACACATTCCTTGGAAACCCTCTCCCATTTCGCAAGGATTCAAGTCTCTTGTCAAAGCATTGTATCCGTAAGCAATAACAACCAATGTCGCTGTCACATTACCATCGATAGCCGAAACACCGTTAATGCTAATATTGTGGGGGTTGGTATCGGGAGTGAAAGAAACGTTGAAAAGCGAGGCCGTAAATTTAGAATCATCCATACAAGGGTTGAGAGATGTCGATTGGATCAGACGGGCGGCGGAGGCATTATGAAGAAGAGCTGAGAGAAGCAATAGCAGCGATAGAATGGAGCTAGACGATCGGGATAATAACGAACGACTCATGACAGGCGAGTTAACGAATGTGTTGAACGTGAAAAATCTTGGTTAGGAGGGGAGAATCCCCCGGAAGTTAAATAGAATGCAGCCCTGGTGGGATACAGTTTTTCAGAATTAGAACAATGAATTTCGCAGCCGTGCAAGTGTATGCGAAGCGATCCCGGGAGCAAACGGGTATGAAATACGGATGGCTGAGGTAGTGAAGCGAAGCAGTAAAGTGGCGTCGGGTGTACAGTAGGTAGCGAGTAAGAAAAAATGAAGGGCAAAGGTAAAAAAAAAAAAAAAAAAAAAAAAAACCAAGAAACGCACGAGACAAAAAAGGGAGGGCTGAAGGACAGAGGTGAATCCAGTGAGTTGAAGGAAAGCGATCGTAGGAATAAAGGTGAGCGGGAAGAAGGCAGAGCAACCCTTTCGTGAAAACCGATATACACAATACACAGCCGAGCAGGCAAGCTGTCTCGAGGCTGTCTAAAGTTGGTAACGAGGGAAAGAAGTGTAAAAAGGGAGTGTAAAAAGGGAGAGAGAGAAGGGGGGGAGGGGGGAGAGAAGGGAGAGGGAACGAACAAGAAAGGGTGCAAGGGGAGGAGGGGAAAGGGATCGAACAAGAGAAGGGGGGGGGGTTAACAGACGATTGTTATTTGCTTGCTTGTTGCGTATAAATGAACCCAATGCCCTTTCAGACATATAGGTACCCGTGTAGACTAAGGCTGCTGCTCCGTTAACTCTCCTCAGTCACTAAGGAAGAAGGTACGGTGCTCGAGTATGATACTTTTGTAGGGTAAGGTATGGTATGTGAGAGTGAGAGTGTTTAGCGTGGAGGAAGGGGAAAGGGAGGAGGAGAATTGGGCGAAAATGAGATGCACAAGTCTCCAAGCAACCAACAATAAAGATGATAATAATAAGGGAAAAGGTTTGAAGAGGAAAGAAGAAAATACGGTAGACACGCCCTGCTGAGAATGGAAAGTGAACATGAATAGGGAACGTGGAATTGAGTGAGAGTGAAAGTGGAAAGGGGTGTGGATTGATTACCTTTCACACACACACACCAAACGCCCTCAGATGGTAGTTGGGACAAATGCGTCGCAAGCTGGAACTCCCCAGCCTATTCCCAAAGGAGAAGCGGGAAAAAAGCAAGAAAGGCGGCAAGGGTCGCGCGAGCCAGAGGGCTGTGCACAGAGCAATTATTGATGGTTACAGAGCGAAATCCCCTGCTGTGAAGTGATGATGACGGATAAACAAAGATGAAGCCTTATTATCGTTGTCGATGTTCTGGAATACTAATGTATTCGTGAATCTTGTTCGTTCCCTCAATAGAAGTACTTTCGTTTCACCTATACCGGTAAACGCCATCAACTTTGTGTAAGTACCGCACACAATATAGAGTACTATACAAAAAAGTACAAACGAAGACAACGGAAAAAAAAAACAATGGTTGCTGGCAGGAGTAAAATGGACCACAAGTTCTATGCTTGTACCCTCCCCCCCCGTTTTCACACAGGGAGCAAAAAGATTAGATGATAAATTTACCGGTAATGGGAGAGAGTCTTCTCCATATAATTTTGACATAATAAAATGGACAGAAACACTGTACGAGTACGGAAATGGGGGAAGAGCGCGAACCGTAACAGTCGATGTGTGTATCCCGTTTATGAAAGGGGTCTGCCGATGATGATTTTTCGGGTCCGACGGGGACGGTGTGTGAGATTGACAAAAAAAAAAAAAAAAAAAAAAGGTCACCGTGGATGTGATGACGGGCTCGTAGACTAAAAGCAAAGCAGCAAAGCCTACTCTACGGTACTCGCAAAGAGGCGAGAACAGCGGCGATCACGTTTTGATACTGTGGTACCGGTGTCAGGACTGGGGAAGTTTATGGGTTTAGTTAGAGAAACGAGAAAGAAAGGGACCAGATAAATAACAGATTCTCATACCTCACTGAGTACAAGTACTCGTACTCGAGCAACAGAAGATGTCTTGGGCCCGCATGATCATCTCGACGTCAGAAGGAACCTTCTTTGTGTCTAAAAAAGAAAAAAGAAAAATCAGCGGAGCAGAAGGGGTGCATTTAAATTTCCTTTTTTTTTACGTAGCGCTACTTTTCTCGTCCTCGCAGCAATCCAGTACCGTGCCAGTACCGGTACTCGAGTGCTGAGTAGAGAGACCAGAGAAATGAAGACCACATCCATCGTGCTCATAGAGCCTGGCCCAGAGTACTCGTTTCTGGTCGGCCTATCATAATGGCACACACCCCTCTCAGCTAGATTCAAAGAAAGAGCTACTCGAGCACTGTATAATACTCGTGCTCGAGTAATGGTGACAAAGCGGCAGCACTCGCACCACATCGAACCAGCCTCCAAATGTTTAACTTATCGATTGGATCGACTGGTCTCCAGCCTCAGTTGGCCGTCGCTGGCCCAAATGAAAGGTGACCGCCACACTATTAGAATTGAGCACCATGAGCTAAAAATGAAACTGATCTGCCGCAACTCCCCTCCCAATTCTCAGGCACACTCACACAACTCTCACACCAACTGTAACACGACTGGCCAGGAATATTCTCTGCACCCGCCCAGGAATCGATGTCAATGCTTTCCATCCTCCCAAATTCCGTAAAGCATTTTATCCTAGTTAATCCAAGCGTTCTGTAATATTTACTTGTAGGACAGTGGAAGCTCCCCAAAAGGGTGATACGGTTGATGCCCGACCGGATTTAACCCCATCCACCAATCTGTCCTCGGCTCTAGGGCTGGGGTTTCCTTTCGCTTGCCAAGACCTCACGCAAATCTTTCTAAAGAATAAAAGAAAAAGAAAAGGTTGGTCAATCTGTCGTGAAAGAAATTACTCCTCCTTCTCTTCATCCTCTAAACCCTCTCATCCTCATCCTCCCTCTACTCAATCATATTTTGCTCAATGGGCGGATCAGTTAACTCAGTAAAGAAGAGGAAACGGGTGGAGAGAGGGCAGGGCGAGAAGTCGTCAAAAACAGGCCCCGCAGTTGGCACTTCAAACTCCTCCGGAGTGAAAAGGGTCAAGAATTCATCAAAACCCCAATCGAAATTACCAGAGAGAACACCAAGAGCACGGCCTCATTCCAAGCAACAGACAAATGGCCAGGACGAGTTGGACTCTGGTACTGATGAAGATGGCGATGTTCAAGGTTCTGGGGGTGAAGATGATACCCCTATTCGAGACAACAAAGTCTTTACAGATTTGAACCTACCGACCGAAATACTCAGTTCGATATCTTCTATGGGCTTGAAAGAGCTCACTAGCATCCAACGTAAAACCATGCCTCTACTGTTGGCTGGAAGAGATGTGAGTTGGAAGTTTCCCCTCTAACTTTTTCGCCAACCCCCACTTCACCGGCGCCGCTCACGCATTTGGTAGGTCATAGCGTTATCCAAACCTGGCAGTGGGAAAACACTCGCTGTAGTTGCATCAATTATCTCCTTGGCTATATCCCGCAATGTGAAGCCACGTAAGGGCACTATCGCTATCATCCTGACCCCGACCCGTGAATCTGCGCTTCGGCTACACGGGATCGCATCAGAACTTCTCTCCAATGCGCCTCAGACTCTTGGTATTGTAACCGACGGGTCAAACATTCGTCCCGAGGTCGAGAGGCTGGCGAACGGGGTAAATATCTTGATAGCCACTCCTCGCCGACTCTTGGAGCACCTCAGCACTACTTCTGCTTTCGTGATCCGAAATCTCAAGAATCTTGTCGTTGATGATGCGGAACGGATTGCGAAAACGGCAGGGGTACACGATATCTTGGCCAATATTAACAAGGTTCTTCCCAGGAAGAGGAGCACAGCATTGTTCTCCGCTGAGACTATCGATGAAACTGTTGTTGAGACCTTACATTTCAGGTCCCCACACCGGATACGGGCCGATGATCAATCCGAGCAACAGTCGGAACCTGTTGAGGGTCAGGTACAGGGGTATGTTCTGTTGGAGCCAGAGAAGCGCTTCCTGCTTCTTCACTCTTTCCTGAAGAAGTTTTCACGAAAGAAGATTATTGTTGTCTTCTCATCAACAGCTGCTGCCCGAAACCATGCGGATCTTTTGTCGACCCTTGAGTTGAAAACCTGCCAAGTTCATGCGAAACAGTCAACACAGCAACGAGCAAGTAGCTATTCGAGGTTCAAAGAAGCCCGGGAAGGTGTTCTTATTTGTACAGATGCTATGTTTTGCGGTTCTGAGGTAACTTTATTTCCTTTGATGTTTGGACCTCGCTTCCTTGCTAACATCCTTTAATAGATCCCTGCCGTAGACTGGATAGTCCAGTACGACCCTCCGGAGGATCCACAAGAGTATATCGGTCGTTTAGGCCGTTCTGTTGGGGCCCGAAGTGTGTTGTTTCTACTACCTAACGAACAAGCGTTTGTCGAATATCTAAAAGAAGCGAAGGTAGAAACTGAAGAGTTTGAGTATTCGTCGAAACAGTTGGTGAATATCCAGAGTCAGCTTGAGAAGCTAGTATCGAAGGACTACCAACTACATTGTTTGGCGAAAGATGCCTTCAGGTTTGTCTACTGCTTGATTTCCATTTACCCATCTGCCTATCTCCATATTTCCTACGTTTTTCTTTCCGTGGAGGCCTACATGATGAGAAAAAATTGGTCCGTGTTGATGAAGCGGATTAAGACCCCGCCATACGATTACTTCCAAAATAAGCAAATGCTCTGATCTACCCCCTTATCTCCTCTTATCTCTTGCTTTTTGCCAACTATATACATGCCTAGCTCTCTTCCGCTGACATACACTCCCAGATCATACCTTAAAAACTATGCCCTACACGCCCTCCCTTCCATATTCGACTACTCAAAACTAGACGTTGCCAAAGTCGCAAAAAGTTTCGGCTTCGACACACCGCCTAGAGTAGACACGCATCCTGATGAAGCCAAGGACATGAGCAAAGGGAGGATGACCTACGCGCCACCGAAGTCCGGCGCGCTCCCTGGTAAGGTCGCCAAACGAAAAGCTACAGCTGTATAATGTAATAATCGTGTAAATATTTATCTTTTTTACCTTACCTGCGTAAATAATACCAATACGAGTCTTCAAAAAGGAACCCGTGAAGAGATCGTCGAGTGATGATATGCGCGAAAAAATTAATGTCTGTCCAGCCACCTAGCTTGGATTTTTTTTTTTGTTTCTAGAATTTTGGTATCATAAGTTACTGCGCACAACCGCCAGCCCCACTATTATTCCGATCGACAGCCCCGTGAAGATAAAAAATCTACACATTCCAGCCCCGCAGCCTATCCAACTCCAATCCCATGCCAGTGAAGCACTGGTATGATACCAACTTGGCGTCAAAAAGGAAGTGAGAGAAAAACGCGAGCACAACGCACAAGGCAAGTTCAGGAGCAGTGATGACAGGGCGATAAATAGGTATCATACGTAATCAAGCAAATGCTTGAATGAACCTGGGTAGACGGACACGGAAACGGAGGGATTCATCTCTTGGGGCATTATTCCAAACGGTGAAGAATGGGGTATCATACAATGTATGTAGCTATTAGTGTCACGGTATATCACTCGCTGAGTGTCAGTGGGTGATGTAATTCTCGATTGAAGTTGTACTTCTTACTAGATTGATGCTCTACCGGGGGGGGGGGCATAGGGCCCTATTTATGCTACAGGAGAGCACACTACAATCACTCATGACATGCACTTTGCGCAAGAGAAAAGAAAAAATAAACGACAACAATACTACATAATGTAGTAGTAAAGAGAAAGGAAATGCAAGTGAGGAAACTAAACTAGTACAATGGTAGAGTTGCTGAGTAATCTCTGCTCTAGTCAACCGTGTAATGAGCTCAACCACTTAATGAACCCATATCAAAATATTATGTCATAGTCAATGACAAAACCAATGCATATTTGGAAGTCATATTACAACAGGTGACAGTGAGTGTCGTCAATTGAGATTATGAGGTAATGAGACAACTTGTGTCTTGGCGATGAGATGGAAATAGCACAGTAGCAAGAACCAAGTACCGTATGATAGTCTAAAGCACTAGATGTTTTTATCATATGGCCAACTTAGCGACGTGCGCCAGTGGAGAGTACTACTGTACTCTACTGACAACGGCAAGTACTGTTGACTAGAAACCCTTCCCTTTCCTCCTGAACGAGTCTATCTATGTGTGTACAGTCGTGTCCGTAAAGTCTTCATACCCCGGCAGCGCAACCACACAACCACAACACCTCTCCATGGAAAATTGAAAAAAAATTCAAACAACTCAATTAAGAAAAGTATATGAATAGAACTAATAAGCCTTAAGAAAATATTATTACCACTTTGTATGACCACCATCTGCATCTAGTACAGCCTGTATTCTCTCAGGCATCCTATCTATCCATCCATCCAACTTCTCTTGGGAAATTAAATCTCATTCCTCCTTTGCTGCCTGAAATAATTCAGCAGCACTGTGAGGCCTCCTATCCAACCTGGAGAATCGATTTCTGAGGACTCTTTTGAGCAGAGCCCAAGTGTTCTCAATAGGATTGAGATCTGGTGAGTTGAGTGGTCAAGGCAATTTTTGATAACCACAGTTTGACTGCAATTTTCTGTTTTCCTCACCACCTGTAATGATTCCTCCTTGGATAGTTAGTTCTTGGCGGCGGGAAACGATACTTTCCTTCTCCTTCCATTTCTTTCCTTAGTCTTACGATAGCACTAGGCCTCTGCCTATGTTACCGATAGTACAAGACCTTTGTCTTCTATCGGGAATGCCTATCATAAGCTTTCTTTAACTCTTCTTCGTGACGAACTTTCCTTGGCGTAACAATAACATTGCAATAAAGATAAAGATTGTAAGGTGTTTTATATTCGTTAAAGTAATAAGTAGGAAAAGTACTTAGAACAAAGCATGAAGAACCTATCCTACTCAGCCGCATCGGCCTCCTTATATAGTGTTCTTCCTGCCCATAGTCATGTGACCCAAAGTGGTCATATGTGCGAAACTAAATCATAACAAACTAGTCATGTGACCAAGATGGTCACATGCTCAAAACCCATGACCTTATAGTGAGGTCATGTGCAAAAACTCATAAACCAATCATAACACAATAAACAAATCATATGACTCGACTGAGTCATATGCGTGAAAGCTATGACCTCATAATGAGAGCATGTGCGAAACATAAATCATATGCGCAAGGCCTACCCACAAGGCACACTCGCAAGGCATACTCGTCAGGTGCTCGTCCCATGACTCATATTTGAGCCATGTGTGAAAGCATTACAAATCCCACACATAACAAATCATATGACTCGAATGAGTCATATGTGTGAAACAATAACATACCTGTAACTCATAACCATGTGTTACGTGAAAACCTTTTCCTCGCCAAGCCACATTTGTGACACTACCATGCCAGGAGGCATTGTCTGCTGCTAGGTAGATGTTGTCAGAAGGTCTATCCAGACCTTCTATAAAAGGGATGAGGTATGGCTGGTGGATTTCAGTTGTATATTAGTGGAAATTGAGGCCAAGTCTGTCTCTTTTGCTGGTCTTTTCTTCCTCCCCCCTCTTCCTCACAAGAATTAACTCAGTCCTGTCACCCTTCATAATTGCAGCATAGACCCTAATACTAGTCCTTCCAGACTTAAAGCTAGGCTTCAAGTTTTTTTCTTCCAGCTCTTCACTAGGTCTAACTCTGACCTTCCTGCTAGTAGGATTTGGATCATAGATAATGGTGGCTTCATCCACAAAAACAACCCAATTCCATGCATCCCTCCAATTCCTCTCTTCTCCTTCTGTCCTTTCCTCCAAAAAGGTTTTTTTCTAGGTATCAGAAGCTTAAAACCAGCTTCTGATATGATCTTATCCACAGATGTCTTTCCCAGACCAATATTCGCTTTTTTGGTAATGTTGTGTAATGCTAAATGAGGCTCGGCATTGATAATAGACTCCATTATCTTTCTTTTTTGAGGAGTCATTGTTGTTGGTTTTTCAGATCTGGGGGTATCATGGGTATTTCTATCTCTTGATTCAGCTCTTTTGACTACTGATTAAACAGTTGCCTTAGAGATATCCATAACCTTAGAAATTTTATTATACCCCATATCAGTATGTTTATACAGGACATAAATTTCCTTATTTTGGTCTTCTCTAGCTCTTCAGATATGTGGGGGGGTCATGTGTTAGGCAGAGGCAACTTGATAGACTTCAAAGTTGTCAAGGCCAATCGAGATTTGTTTCTGTAGATGGAGATTGTCTAGGAAGGCTCAGACTTTGCTCATTTCATTTATGACTACTAGGAGTGAAGTAGAATAGGTAAAGTAAGGTAGAATCGTAAAAACAATATTATATTGTTAAGGTCGCTTCTCCATTGCTTGATGATGTCTAAAGTTTGGGAGGCACTTCGATATTTATATTCCGCGTCTGAGTGTTCGCGGACTACATTTATTTATCATACAACTATGTACTTCATCAATCATTTATTCACGACGTTGAGTTTTCTTCCAAGGTGCGAATACCTGTGGACCCTGAAAACTATTACACCCTCTTTGGTAATTACAATATGTCTTCTTAGAAAGCATGCTGTCCCCAATAGTAATATCCCGATTAGCAGAGTCTTTAGACTTATGGCCTAGTTCTTAAGTCGAACTGAGTTGGCTCCAATTGTCTTCGCCATTGATAAAATGATCAGTTTTATCCATGACTATATCTGCAAAAGTGGTCGTCATTACAACCATTGTAGGTTGTCTGACTTCGATCCTTTGTAACTCCATACCTCCATACCCAACGAAGAGATTTTCTTTAGATAACTTCCTATTAACTTGCAGGAAGCTATTCCACCAGATTGGTAATAAATCCCTCAGTCGGCAACCCTTGGTTGCTCTCCGGGTAGTAGGTTTCAGTAACCATTGTAGTATTGAGAATCACCCTATGGCTACGATATATTCCGAAACCCAGTTGCAACACTCTGTGAAGTTTGTTAGCTTCTTTGGTAGTGTCTTTTGGAATTCTAGACTCTTTTGGTGGATGTAAATGTATTGGTCTCTAGTAGAGATTCTTTACCATTTGATACCATCTCTTTGTGCGAAATCGTCCTGTTACTTGTGGTCCATACCAAACGTGTCATGTCTTTGAAGCCAAGTAACTCTCTGTGTAGTTGACAGAATTACTCTGTTCTACTTCCCAAGCCTAGCCGAAAGTCTCCTCTCATATATCCTGCGAACAGTATCTGGTCGGATGGACGGCGACGATGTATATGGTGTTATTCTAACACCTTCAATTCTGTGGTAATATAGTCACAGGACGCAACAGAGATTAATATATATGATGACACGCGGGCTCCGTAAGGGAGCCGGAGGGGGGTGTTGGAGACCAGAGATTCCGATTCCGAGTAGGATTATCCTACTTAGGGTGGTTCCTAGGTATCAGGTTCTGGTATTCCTAACCTCATAGTAGAGGCGGTTATTGTGGAGATGGAGGACACACCATTGCCGCACTGGGGGATGAAGACTTTACAGACACGACTGTACTCATACTGTACTGTACTGTACCGGCATGATACTTGTATGTGAAAAATGCCAGTCCAACATTGTCTGCCACAGTAATGAAGTGAAAAAAAAACAAAAACAAATAAGAGAGGCATAATATTGAATTTTTTTTTGAATGATCTGCACGACCTTATGATACAATAAATAATAACCGTAAATGAGAATATGAGCTCAATATGAAAAGCACTCGTATATTGAGGGGGCACGCTTTTGCTAAGTCTCGATGGTAATTGCTATTAGAGCCTGTCTTAGTAGAAAACCCACTCTCGGATAAAGTTGTTATTAGCAGAAAAGTACATGGCAACCAGAGTGACCCGCAAAAAATATTTTGAGATAGCATTAGTTTTATAATAACACAAACTTTAAACTACTACTATACACTTAAAAAAATTCAATAATTTATTTGAATGCTGTACAATTTAGTTTAACACTTCCGCTACAATTCTATGAACTTAAACATTTTAAAACCAACTAA